TAAACATGCTACCTGTATAAGCATTTTCTTTACTAAATTATATCAAGTCAGTTTCAATATTAAATCAGATTTTTCTGCATGATGTCAAAAAATGTTCTTGAAAAAGCACCCATTTTACAGGTTAAAAAAAAAAAAAAGCACAGAAGGCCAGCCTGATAGCTCAGTGGACTAAAAGCCTGCTTAGGCAGAGTGCCGCAGCCTGGGTTCGATCCCCAGCATACCATGCTGGCCCTTCCCCCAGGGCACGCTGATGGGGCAATTGAGACTGGGCATGGTGGTGCACACCTATAATCCCAGTGCTTGGGAGACTGAAAACAGGAGGATCACTACAAATCTGAGCTATGTAGTAAGACCCTGTAGACCTTGTATCCCCTGTACTAAATGCATTAAAAAGAAAAAAAGCACAGAGAATTATTTAACTCTTTACAAAAAGAAGTAAGATTGAGTACACATTTTTACCTCAGCTTTCAACCTGCTGTTCAGTGCACAAAAGGTTTAGTTTTGGTTATTAAATAGAGGACAATGTATACTGCCATTAAGCTGCCAAATTGTGACACAGCTTGGAAAACATTAATTCTCTCCATCCATGTCAACTGGAGGTAAACTGGAAGAAGAAAGATTTGAAAAATGTACTGATCTTTTAAACACATATTAGGCAATAAGACCGACATACCAGCCAGGCAAGGTGGCACATGCCCATAATCCCAGCACTCTGTAGGCTGACGCAGAAAGATAGCTGTGTGTTCCAGACCAGCCTAGGCTACACAATGACCTCATGGCCAGTCTGAATAGCATTTAAGACCTTGTCTCAACAGACAGACATACCTGATTATGATTTTCAAGAACATGAAGGGCTAAGAGAACACGGGCTACTAATACAACATTATCACCTTATAAAAACAAATAAAGAGTGAAAAAGCTTATTGAGATTTATATCTAAGTTTTTAAAAATTTACCTGAAAAGTCCAAGCAGCACTGCACTGCACTTGTTTACAAAAAGTACTTATAGAAAATTGGTGTGCTGGCACATACCTACAAGCCAAGTACAAGGGATACTGAGGCAGGAGGATCACCATGAATAGGAGGATGGCCTGAGGAAGCTCAGTGCTAGCCTGGAGGATGCAGAAAACTCAAGGTTAACCTAAAATATACCAAAAGACCAACTCTCAAAAAAATTATTACAGAATCTCCCCTTCCATGTATTATAGGCACTTAAATTAGATAGAAATTAATACAAAGTCAGAAAGGGACATGGCTCTCAAGGAAGTCACTGAAAAATAGAGACATCAGAATTGTGACTGGAGGAGCAGCTAAGTAAGGAAAGGCCTCAAGACAAAGTCCCAGGGCCTGGGCTCGCGTGCTTCCCTGAGGCACGAGCAGAACGTGACACTAGTGTAATGAGTCCTGCCCAGGCCCTCAAGCCCAGATATGCATCAGACATCCAAGCGAGGATCACTTGGATCAAAAATGTCCCTGTTTCAGAAGTAATGGACAAGCCAAGGTTAATTGTATCAGCCGTACACCCTCACTACATGTCCTACTTCCTAACTGTGTCACCATTAGCTAAGTAGTTATTCTTGTAATCCTGTAGCTTCATTGTATTTTGACCCATGTTATATGCACATTGTGAATTGTTGTATGCAGTACCCCTGAAAATCAGCCTCAGAGGCAACCCCCTCAGAACACCTTCTACTTCTCAGAGCTACCTGTGTCTCAGTAAACCATTCTTAATTTTAACCTTTGTCTCTTGGCATTCATTTTTTCAATTCAGGGAACACAAACTTCACTTGTCTGATATCTGGAAGGTTAAGAGTTGTATTTCTCCTATGTCTCATTGATGGTAAGACAGCAGCCACAAGAAGAAGAAGATCAGATACCCAATGACCTAAATATGTAAAATCTTTTTGTAGTTCTCCCAAAATAGTGAAAGGAGTATAGGCAGTCATGGAAGTACAGAGGTCAGTAAGAAACATTAAATGACTAAAGAGAAAAAATATTAAAAAGATAAATAGAATTTATATACATTTGAAATAGACTTTTAAAAGGAGCTAGTAGAATTTCTGAAAACAGCTATCAAAATTTTTGGCCAAGGATTCAGGGTCATTTTCTTTGACAAGTTCCAAATTAAAGTGTAGATTTATTTTATAAGACAGTAAGTGAAACGTTCAAAACCCAAAGGTTTACTTTCAAGGAGTTTAGTGATAGTAAATAGTCTGTTTAAAGCTGAATGCCAAAAAAATGAAGTAGTTGTTGTTTACGTGGTGAGTTGACCTAATTCTGTCACTCTCCTCTAGGAAGACTGATGTGTGCTTTCAACTCTTTCCTTGTTCCTTTAGGGCACTGAGATGCTTGTTCTTCAATTTCCCCGTGAAGATCTAAATTTAGCAGAACAAAATTCATATAGTATGATGCAATAAAAGGGTGCAAGAAATCACCAGACAATGAAGTGATACCATCATTTTTGGTAACAATTTGCCATTATCTATGAAGGCTAAAAAAAAAAAAAATTATATATGACACTGAAGCTCACTTCAGGGAAAATAATTTTAGAAAATCCAAAAAATCTTCATACCTAAGCACATTATAATTTATTTTAAATTGAATGTGCTTTAGAAGGTGCAGCCTGATTTGCACATGACAGCTCCCGGGGCTTGTGACACAGAAGAGTCCATTCTTCTGTGCCTCTGCACTTTTGTTCTCCCACTTGCTGTTCCCAGCTGCCCTGCGTTGGGAGCTTTCCCCTCTGACACCCTTGGCCAAACTGGATTTGTCTGGAACCAGACAATCATAACTCAGTTTTCTGAAACAGAGACACAAAATAAATCTCTCCTACTTAAATTGTGCCTGCCAAGAACCTTGTTCAAGTGACAGGAAAGTGATGAATACATCACTCTAGTCACCATTTAGTGCTGACGGTCCTAGAGAGAAACTACATGAGAAAAGGAAATTCGAGGCCTCGACATTAGGAAAAATTACTTCTGTTTGCAGATACCATTGTCTTATGCATAGATAAACCCGGAGACTGCACTGAGAAACATAATTGGTAAACAATGTCAGTAAAGTTGGAGGATATAAAATCAACATACAGACACTAGCAGCATTTTTACAAAACAAATTATGCACTGTCCAAGAACCATTAAAAAAAATCCCACTTATAACAGCATGAAGAAAATATTCTTAGAAATAAATTGTCTCAGTTACTTTTCTCTGTCTGGGACAAAATACCCAACACCCAAAATTACGGGAAAAAAATGTTTATTTAGTTCAGTTAGTGGAGGTTTCATTCGGTACTTGGCTGGCTCCAGGGCAGAAGGAAGTAGCTCATGGTGCGGGAGAACAGCGGAGAGCAGAGGAAAGAGCAGGAGTTGCGATGTCTGTCAAGCCTTTCTTCCTTCTTTCCTTCCACGCTGACTGGGTAGCAGCCGCTGCTGCTGCGCAGATCCGCGACTGTGATGATCAGGCTCCTCCAGGGAAGTGGAGCACCTTCCTCAGCCCCTTTATATGGGGTTTTTGTGCTGAATCACTCCTCAGCCCCTTTATATGCAGGTTTTTGTGCTGAGTCACTGTAGGACAGCCCAGGGCGTGGAATTGCCAAGCCTATCCAGCAGAGCTTGCAGCATTGCAAGTTGACACAATGTATCAGCCATTATGTAAATGTAAGGAAGAATGTAAAAGATTTGCACATTGAAAACGGTAAGATTCTATTGATAAATAACCGTCCATGTTCACTGTCAGAAGACTCAGTACTATCAAACTATGGATATAAAGCAAAACAATGTATGGGTTCGATGCAGTTTCTCAGCATTCCACTAGCATTTTCCACATGGAAACATGAAAGATCTAAAATTTGAATGGAAGCCCTGAAGACTTGAAATAACTAAAGGAATCTTGAGCAAGAGTAATGATGGAGGTTTAACACTCCTGACTTTAAATTGTATTGCACAGCTTCAGCAATGAAAATATTACCCTGCTGGCATAAAAAGACATATACTGACCAATGGGATAGAAAAGCAAACCCAAAAATACATCTATCTTATGGCCCACTAATTCTTAGCAAAGGCACTAGTAATACACCATGGGAGAAGACACAATCTCTCAAATAATTGGTGCTGATAAAACTGGATATACACACGCTAATAAAGACAAAAATGAATAAGATCTTTATCTTATACCATTCTCAGAAATCAACCCCAAATGGATTAAAAACTTAAATATAACACCCTAAACCATAAGACACTCGGAAGAAAATAGTGGGAACATTTCCTCCCGCTGTGCTTGGTCATAGATTTTTAGGTATGACAACAAAAGCATGGACAACAACATCAAAGTAGGTATATTGAACTGCATCCAGATAAATAAAAAGTTTCCACAGTGCATCCAAAGAAAATTATTTGGCACAGCATAGGAAACTAAAGAATGAAAAGGCAGCCTTCAAGTACAGAGAAAACCACTGGCAAGTCATCTAGTAGTCGATAGGGATAATATACAAAATATTGGAATTGAAGTCCGTATAAGTTCAAGAATCCAAAATATTTACAAATGAACAAAAAACAGGACCTAACGACAATAGATTAATTTTAAAAGGGCAAAGTACTTAGGCGGGAAGATTCCTAGGGTTAAAGGTCAATCTGGGCTACATAGTTTGCTCAAGGCCAGCTTGAACCCAATTACCAGCCCTACCTCTAGGAAAAAAAAAAGTTGGGGGGCTGATGACCTGAGGTTGGAGCATTTGCTTCCAGCGCGGAGTCTCCTGCAGTCTCCTCTTTCTCCACTGGGGTGTGCACCCAGAGCGGAGAAGGGGAGTGCCACGGGCTCTTCTTACCAGGGGTGGCCTCATTTTGAGATCTGAGATCCTCCAACCAGAAGGCGAGCCGGGAAGGAAGACACGCCTCCCCCCGCCCGACTCCCGCCCTCTCCTCCGCCCACCTCTCCCTTTTCTAGCCGTTGCCTCCTCCTGTGGCCAGCACTTGGAGCCCACACAGGCCAAGCTCACCGAGGGCTAAGAGAGGCTGAGGAGCTGTGCGTCCTGCTCTCTGACCACCAGCGCAGTCTCTACAGCCTGCAGCGCGGTCCCTTCGGCTGTCAGCTCGGTCCTCTCGACCTGCACCGCGGTCTCCTGGGCCAGCAGCACCTTCTGCACCTCGGCGTCCCAACAGCGGCATCCAGGGCAAGTCCCGCAGCCTAGCCATGAGCTGGTTCTGGAGCTGCGGAAGAGAAGGTGAGGGTGAGGAGAAGGTGCTGCGTGAGGTCAGCAGAAGGACACACCGACAACTGAAGGAGGACAAGCGCCTCTATCGGGCCACGCACCGCCTGCTGCTGCTGGGGCCCGTGGGATGTGGCAAAAGCACCCTTTTCAAGCAGGCAAAGATGCTGCTTGGGCCGAGGTTTCATGGAGACAGCGAGCGGGCCGCTGAAGTGCAGAAGGTGAGAAACTCCCTGAAGGAAGCTATTGAAAGCGTCCTGGTGGCCATGAGCAGGCTGCAGCCCCCTGCGAAGCTGGCCCACCCTGAGAACCAGTTCAGAGTGGACTGCATCCTGGGCGCCAGGGACAAGACCAGCTTCAGTTTCCCGCCCGAGTTCTTTGAGCACGCCAAGGAGCTGTGGGAGGACGAGGGCGTGCGCTCCTGCTATGACCGCTGCACGCAGACCGGGCTGCTGGACTGCTCCCGCTACTTTCTGGACAAGATCGATGTCATCAGGCAGCCCCACTACGAGCCCAGCCACCTGGATCTCCTTCGCTGCAGTGTCCACATTCCCGGAATCTTTGAGACCAAGTTCCAAGTGGATGAAGCCAACTTCCACCTGTTGTATGCAGATGGGCTGTACTACATGTGCCGGGTATGGGCCGAGTACCTCAGCAACTTGACTGCCATCATCTTCGTGGTGGACAGCAGCAGCTATGACCAGAACACCACTGGGACCAACAGACTGCAGGAGGCTCTCAACATTTTCAGGTCCCTGTGGCGCAGATGTCCCCACCCCTTCTGTGTGCTTCTCTTCCTCAACAAGCAGGATCTGCTGGCTGAGAAAGTCCTTGCTGGGAAGTCCAAGATTGAGGACCACTTTCCAGAATTTGCTCACTACACTACTCCTGAGGCTGCTGCTCCTGAGCCCGGAGAGGACCCCCGCGTGACCCGGGCCAAGTACTTCATCTGCAGCAAGTTTCTGAACATCGTCAATGCTGTAGGCGGTGAGGACCGCCACTGCTATCCTCAGTTCACCTGTGCGATGGACAGCGAGAACATCCAGCGGGTGTTCAGTGACTGTGCCCAGCTGCTCCAGCACGCACGTGAGGGAAAGCTGGTTTTAGACGGGAACTGTGCTTTAATTAAAGCATAAACTCAATTCATTTTTGTAAAATTGAAGGTCATTAGTACAATTTGTGTCTGTACATGATATATGTTGATTCCTCTTTTTTCAAATCCCATCTCCATCCCATCTTTTCAAACCCCCTTGATCTTCCTGGTCACAAAGCTCGGTTTTCATTTTACCCTTCTTCCTCATTTTTTTCATTCCCTTCCTTTCTTTCCCCTCCCTATTTCCCGTCTCTTTTGGAACAGTTTCTTTCTTTTCCCCAGTATCTATTTTACATTTGAATTCCAATTTACATTTTCAGTTTCTCACTTGAGAGAGATAATGTGACATTTATACATGTGTGCCTGATTATTTCACTGATGATTATGGTCGCAAAGTGCTTTGACAATACATGCCTCAATTTTGTTTTTCTGGATGAGTACTTCCTCAATATGTTAAAAATAAAAAAGCATCATTTTTATGCATTCAATGTTTCTGTTGCCTCCAAGATTTAGCTATTATCAACTATGTTGCTCTCAATATGGCTATGTATAGGTTGCTGTTGTGTGATGCTTTTAATTCTTCTGGGAACATACAGAAAATGGGAGTTAAACTCAATTAATTCAAAATGATAGAAGAAATAGATATGGATGAGAGGCATTGTAGACAAGGTCCAGAAGAAAAACAATGCAATACAGAACTTTATAATTTATAGGCTTATTTTATAGTAGTCACCCAAAAGGTGAAATGTAAAAGAATGCAAGGAATCTTTCCACATGCTGAAGAACCAGAGAATCCACCTAAGGGCCTAGATCACATGTTAATGCCTTGAATGGTTCCAACCAAAGCCCTAGAGCCTATGATGATATCTCATGCAAGTTTGTTTTGTGAATTTTCACTGGAAAGACCCAAAGGCCAGAGGTGGGAGTTCAAAAGTCTGCGTCAGCAGGATGAAGGGTCTGGGCTATGCAATGTACAAAACAAGGACCAGACCTCCCTCAAAATAAACCACATTGATTCTCACTGATAAGACTGTCCCAAGTTCCTTTGAGGATGAGAATAGTGGAGTTTTTTTATCAGGCAAGCCAGCCAGGATCCTTTCCTTCTTAAAAATGACCCTGTTTTAGAAATGATAGATGAGCCAAAGTTAATCATGTCATCCATATACTCTTGCTACAAGCCTCAACTGGGTCACTATTGTGGTTTGTGTCTAGTTGTTCCCCCAAAGCTTCCTGTAATCATGGGGAAGACATCTAGACTTTGTGATTAATTCATGATCCAGTGCTGAGATTATGGGAGTTAGTCCTCCTGGGATTACAGGTGGAACTGCTGCTGGGATGGGATTATGGATATGAGTGCTACACCCGGCCTGGGGCACATAGCCTGAATGCAACATAAGAGAGACAGACTTGCTCTGTGTTGCCATTGTTGCCACTGCTCCTCCCATTTGCTCTTGCTCTTTGCCACTGCCATGAACAGCCGCTCTGTATTGCCATATGTCACTCTGTGTTGGAGCCAGCTGAGTATGGGCTAAAACCTACAATAACTGTGAGCTAAGTAAACCTTTCCTTCCTTAATTTTGGTGTCAAGTATTTTGTTCTAGCAATGAGAGAAGAGTAACTGAGACAGTCACCATTAGCTAAGTGGCTATACTTGCAAGCCTTTAGGTTCATTGTAGGTTGACCCATGTTGTACCCACATTGTGACTTTGCTGTATTATGAAGTACTTTTGATAAAGGGCCTCTGTGACACCCTACTTGGGACCTCTCCTGTCTCTCAGGACCACCAAATCAATTCTATGCTTAACCTGTGTTGTCCTGTGAAATTTATCCTTTGACTTCAGGGAATACGAACTTCACACTTTTCATATGGAAAAGGTTGGGAAGTATATTTCTTCTATAACATTTGGGAGGTCCCACAATGATAACTGGAGGGAGGTAAGAGTTTGCATTTATTTCAAGGCACCCCAAAGTATCTTTGTAGATTCTAGTTTATGATTCATTTATATAATCAAGAATTGTCATCTTTTGTTTGCTGGTTGTTTGTGCCTTGTGTCTGTTGATTGAGACATGCTGTAAGTAGAGATCTGGGAAAGTTGAGATGTATTTATATTGAGGCTTCTATGACAAGACATTTTTTATTTTTCTAGCAAGGCCTTACATTCCTATTTCATATAAGCTGCACTGAGACTTACTTCAATATTTGTTGCTGGATTTGCCTCTATTTATTTGTGACTTATTTGGCAGTTAGGAGAGAATTTGGTGGTCTCTTTTAGACAGCTTGATGGAATGGGTTTTAAAATCTCTATTTGTTTTGCAGCCTGCACAGGTATGTTTGAGGATTCAGCCAGAGAGTATGGGACATGATTTGGAAGTTCATCTCTATTGGAGATGATTGTTATTAGTGTGTCAGAAAATGCTAATGCTCTGCTACTCTGAAAATCATCTTTCCTTTCCATGTGGAAGCTCCTGAACCCACAGAATAAAAGTGCCCACCTATAAGACAAGCAGGTTTCAAGTTCAATCCCTGGTACTGCCAAAAGAAAAAAAAAGAAAAGGCAGGCATTCCTTCACAGACTATGTAACTCCAGTGTCTGGGTTTAAGGAAATCATAGCCTATGTTCATCCAGGAAAAGACCCATGATTATTCTGATTTAGCTGATGCCTGGTCAGAAGATTCTCATGTGACAAGCTGGAGAGACCTTCATTCTGGTTCTTTGATGATTCATCTAATTTTCAGCTTTGCAATGTAGCTTGAGTTGATCATAACTTCTGATGTTGGAGACATGTTTTGTTAAGGATTAGAGACCCACCCTAGGAAAGCTTTTGGTCTTGATTATCTTTTTTGCCCTTGAGATGAAGATTACAGGTATAGCTGTTTAGCTAATACAGATCCCATAGGGAGCAGGGTCATGTAGCAAGGGTACATGGAAAGAATAAAGATATTTTTGAAGAAGGAATGGTTCCACATGGTTTGGTCCCCTACCTAGGTGGCTGATGCCTATCTAAACTTCTTGGACCAAGTGGTACTAATTACGGTACAATCTTAAGGCACTGTTTGTCCCTTAGGCTTGTATGTAGGCCTGACCATCACCTCTTTGTCTTGAGTCTTGGCCTTCTTTAGATTCACCTCCAACCACAATTCTGAGGTCCATATTTTTGTGCTGACTTCTTTGAGAGGCCAGTCCAGCTCTGACTGTGTGCTAGTTTCTATCAAACTTAGCTGCCTACAGTAAAAGTACATTTTCAGAGATCAAAACAAAAAAAAAAAAAGTCTTTGCTTTCACAAACGTCAGTTTTTTTTCTTTCAGATTTTTATAGGATATCTCTATTAACTGATGCATAAGATAACTTCTGAAAAAAGTTCTGAATAGTGTTTTTATTCTTGCAAAGGTAAAACCTGCAAAAAGCTTACTGTATTTCAACTTGGCCAAACATATCTAAGAGTTGACTCAGGTTGGAAAACAATTGTTTTACTCATTCATAATAAAAATCCTACAAAAAATCATAATAGATGGTCTTTACTTCAACCTGATAAAAGCCATTTATGACAAACCAAGAGCCAGCATCATACTAAATCAACAAAAGGAAAGGCTTCACTTTGAAATCAGGGAAAGACAAGGATATCCACTGTCAATACTTCTAATCAGTATAGTTCTGGAAACATCAGCCAGAACAATTAGAATAGAGAGAGAAATACAAGCAATAATAATTGGAAAGAAAGAATTGAAATTATCATTAGTTTCAGATGACAGAAGACCCCCAAAATTCCACTAAAAGACTTGTAGATTTAATAGCCAAATTCAGTAACATAGCAATAAAAAAGGTTACACTCCCAAAATTGTTATACAATTTTGAAGGAAATCTTGATTAAAATACCATTGGTATACCTCACAGATCTAGAGAAAACATTCCTAAAATTCATCTGGAACCAGAAGAGACCTAGAATAGCAAAAGCAATCCTGAGCAACAAAGGAAAGGCAAAAGGCATAATCCCTGACTTGAAATTATACTACAAAGATACTGTGATAAAATCAGCATGATAATGGAAGAAAATTAGATCTGAAGATCAATGGAACAGATTAGAAGATACAGACACAACTACAAACACACTCAGCCGCCTTATCTTTGACCAATGGGCTAATCATGTTCGCTGGAAGAAAGATAGTCTCTTTAATAAAAGGTACAGGAAAAACTGGCTTTCCACATGCTGAAGGCTAAAATTAGACCCATGCCTATCTCTATGCACAAAACAACAGTCAAACAGGATCAAAGAGGGGCTAGGGAGATGGCTCAGTGGAATAAGCACTTCCCCAGCAAGTGTAAGGGCCTGAGTTCAATCCCCCGTTCAAAAAAAAAAAAAAATCGAAGATTTAAATATTAAAACTGAAATGCTATATCTTTTGGAAGAGAAAGTAGGTAGAAACCTTAAAGACAAAGGGGTAGGTAGAGTTTATGAACAAAGACCTAACTGCATGGGAGATACTTTAAAGAATCAACAATGGGGATCTCATCTTTTTGAAAAGTTTCTGCTTGTCAAAAGAAATCAACAACAGAGTAAAAAGAAAACCCACAAAATGGGAAAAAATCAAAGCTGATTGTCACTCAAACAAATGACTTCTACATAGAACATACAAAGAATTAAAAAATGTGAGGCCTCCAAAATTCAAAACTCAACCCAAAAGTGGGCAACTGAGATGAATATATACATCATAAATGAAGAAATACAAATAACAAACAAATATATGAAAAAATGTTGAACATCATTGGTCATTCAAGGGATGCAAATTAAAAAACAATGCTGAGATTCCATCTTATGCTAGAAAGAATAGCTATCATCAAAAAGTCAACCAATAACAAATGCTAGAGGAGCTATGGGGAGAAAGGAACACTTCTCCACTGTTAGCTGGGGTGCTGACTGTTACAGCCATGTAGGGATCCATTGGTCCCCCATGGGACCCATTGTACCTGCGGAGAAAATGGTGCAAGAATGAGGAGAAGATAGACAAAAAGACAAGATCTAGTTTAGATGGTGGCTCATCTGTC